CTTAGCTACTATTCAGACCCTATTGAAAAATGTGCCCACGTTAACCTGTTTGACCCCGTTATAATGAGAATTTGGAAAAAATGTATTTTGGAACAGTAATTTTTTGGACAATGTGTGGTTAAAATGAATGAAAAGTTTTAAGTATAATATTATTTTATTGAAAAATGTGTGGTTAATAGAAAAAGAGAAAAATAAAATATAATTTTAAAGGGGACCAAACAAGGATTGAAAAACTTTGTGTTCATAAGATTCAAACATACATTTACATGTATGTATGTATGTGTGTGTGTGTGTGTAATGTACGTGCAAATAAGGAGTCGTTTAGTATGAAGAAGCTCCGTCGTGTTAATCATTGGACCAATGACGAGATAAAAGTAGAGAGGGAACTACAAGGCATGGTAAATTTTAATGATACAATATACAATTTCCGTCGTGTTAAACATTGGACCAATGACGAGATAAAAGTAGAGTGAGAAGTATAAGCCATGCTAAATTTTAATGATACAATATATAGTTGCATATGATATGGGTGCCTCAAACGGGCTGAAAAATCCAGGTTGCAAATGTCCAGAATGCTAATTTTGTTTTTGTAAGCGAGAACTTTGGCGAGAGAACAATTTTGAGGAGAGAAAATTTAGTTTTTCGTAAAATCTAAATTTTATCAATCGCGTACAGCATATAGTCTAGCTTATGTCTAAATAACGCGACAAAATTAAATTTTTGACGCGGAACCTTAAAATATACTCTTGCTAACCATTTTACATAAAATAAAATACTCAATAATCTTATTTAATAGTATAAGATGCCATTTTTAGAGTAGGAAGTACCTAACAAATAAACATTGATTTATTCTAATGTGTACCAACCAATTGTCATTAATTTTCCTTAGCATAATTACTACCTAGTAACCAAGGGTTATAATTTTCACTCATTAGATTTTGTCCCAACCTAGTCCAAATCAAAGTTTGGGTACGTAGATATTTACATGCTGTATCTGCAATAAAATAATATGCTACAAGTGGATGACGAAATGTGACACACATGCATGTCATATATTCTTAAAAGAATAATGCTATATGTACATTTTTAATGACAACTTGATTGATATTTCCTCCTATGTGGAGAAAAGCTATGCAGTAATGTGATTGATGAATTTAAAATTAAAAGTACAGATGTTGTCATGCAGAACATTGTAAAGAAATGTGTAAGTGAGATTGTAAATTTAGCATGATTGTTCTTAAAATGAAAAAGAGTGTAGTCATTTGTACACCCAATTTGTACACATTTGTTGACACTTGCATTATTTTCAAAAAGTGATTGGACGTAAAGACAAAATTTTTTATTTTTAAACGGTCAAATGTCATGTGACAAGTGTTAGAAAATTTACCAGTCGCAATACAGTAAAGTGCAGAAATAAAAACTTATCGACTGATCGAGTCTCCTGACAACATGATGTCCTAAAGCGAAATTACTCGTCGATAACTGCTGCGACCTCTGTGGACAATCTCCTACAGGATACAACGATCAAATAAACCAATTATGCAGCAATCACATAAAGTTTTTAGCTAGAATGAAAAATCCTTACAAAAATTTATTATTCTCGATTCTAAGAGCTAGACGAGTCTAATTTTAACCGAAAACAAATCGAATTGACTTTTGACCCAATTTGTATGGTTTCGAAAAAATTAACGACATAACTTCTTTAGATAAAAAAAAAATAAAAAATACTATTCAAAAATATATTTTGGACAAAAAATGGAATTCAAACAGGCAAATATATAGGTCGACGGACAAAATTTGCAAAATCTTGACTCAGTGCAGGCCACATATAATAAATCCTCTTTAAGCTTCGAGCAAGTTAACCAATGTAAGTCCATCGTCAACTCATGATTTTAAGCCTACTATCGAGCAATTAAATCTTATATTTTCAAGTTTCAACTTGATTTATTAACATTTATACGTTGATTAAACAAAGTTCATTTACTCTACTAGAACCTTACCTTGCCAAACACGCCATGAGGCCAATAGCCACCATTACAAGATATCTTAAACCCCAAATGGAGACTAAGTAATAAAACGAAATTAATGTAATGTCCTTATTTTGATGTGATTAATGAAAGTTAGTAGATTTGGATAATAATCTCCTTTCATTATGATTGAGATTAGGACCATATGAGTTCAACCGTATGCAAAATTTGAGACCAGAACAACAAGGTGATTCAACTATGGAAATCTTGAGAATTCATCATTTTCAAGTAAGAATTTTGAACCGAAATTTATGTACAAACATGCTGAGAATTCTTTCAAATTGTTACACAACTAGAAATTTCAAAACAATTTTACAAAACCACGTATGTTGCAGTTTTATTACTGGATTTTTTGAAGTGATCACTGAATTTTTTGAAGTGATCACTGAAGAAGTAGTAACATATAACAAAGTTCTTGCTTTTACTTATTTCAAGTTTGACATACATCATACATGCTAAAACTTCTCTCTTAGTCACTATTCAGACCCTATTGAAAAATGTGCCCACGTTAACCTGTTTGACCCTGTTATAATGAGAATTTGGAAAAAATGTATTTTGGAACAGTAATTTTTTAGACAATGTGTAGTTAAAATGAATGAAAAGTTAATATTATTTTATTGAAAAATGTGTGGTTAATAGAAAAAGAGAAAAATAAAATATAATTTTAAAAGGGACCAAACAAGGATTGAAAAACTTTGTGTTCATAAGATTCAAACATACATTTACATGTATGTATGTATGTATGTATGTATGTATGTATGTGTGTGTGTGTGTGTGTGTATAATGTACGTGCAAATAAGGAGTCGTTTAGTACGAAGAAGCTCCTCGTGTTAATCATTGGACCAATGACGAGAACTTTGGCGAGAGAACAATTTTGAGGAGAGAAAATTTAGTTTTTCGTAAAATCTAAATTTTATCAATCGCGTACAGCATATAGTCTAGCTTAGGTCTAAATAACGCGACAAAATTAAATTTTTGACTCGGAACCTTAAAATATACTCTTGCAAACCATTTTACATAAAATAAAATACTCAATAATCTTATTTATAGTATAAGATGCCATTTTTAGAGTAGGAAGCACCTAACAAATAAACATTGATTTATTCTAATGTGTACCGTCCAATATTTGTCATTAATTTACCTTAGCATAATACTACCTAGTAACCAAGGGTTATAATTTTCACTCATTAGATTTTGTCCCAACCTAGTCCAAATCAACATTTGGGTACATACATATTTACATGTTGTATCTGCAATAAAATAATATGCTACAAGTAGATGACAAAATATGACAAACACATGCATGTCATATATTTTTATAAAGAATAATGCTATATGTATATTTTTCTCGACAACTTGATTGACATTTCCTTCTATGTGGAAAAAAGCTATGCAGTAATGTGATGGATGGATTTAAAATTAAAAGTACAGATGTTGTCATGTAGAACATTGTAAAGAAATGTGTAAGTGAGAGTGTAAATTTAACGTGATTGTCTGTAAAATGAAAAGAGTTTAGTCATTTGTACACCCAATTTATACACATTTGTTGACACTTGCATTATTTTCAAAAAGTGATTGGATGAAAAGACAATTTTTTTTTTTAATTTTTAAACGGTCAATGTCATGTGACGAGTGTAAACAATAATGTACATCAAGGAGAACACAAAGCATGATTTAATGAATAAAGATGTCATCTATTTATACATGGTCAGGGTTGTGCTAGACGTATATCCATTACTTAATGGATTACACCCTCCTCACATGGAGGGGAGCTCACGAATATTTTATTGTGTGTGGGCTCCCCCTTCATATGAGGGGGTGTAATCCATTAGTTAATAGATTGTGTACATTAGACTAATCCACTTTATTTTATGGCTACTTTTTTAATGTGCCCAATTTATTTGACGGTTGATGATGATTCTCCAATCATCTCATAAGGGTTTTAAAAATATGAATCGACATTGCCATGTTTGTTTTTCTTGTTCCATGTGTTTCATATTTATAATTTGTAATTTTAGCTGTCTTGCACTTGCTTTCTTTCTTTCAAGTGGGAAATTTTCATATCCGAATTTAGTCAACTAAAACATTAAAAGATTTGGATAAATCTATTTGTACATATTCCTTCATACCGAATTGTTTATCCCATCTCACATGCACGCGGGCCCAGCGTAAATAAAAAAAATCATAAGATGTTGTCTCCACCCCCCTATTGTGAGTAGTAGGTAATGAATTATGTAAAAAAAATTATGTACATGTAGTATGACCCAAAAGATTTTGCAAAACAATCTAGTGACAGTGTAATACAACTCATCCACAAGCTGTGGGCTGGTGGAGAAATTGAGATTATCTGGATTCTCATTTTGCTGTAAGTAAAATTTATTTTATTAAATATGAACCTTGACATCTTGTGTACAATCTTCTTCTAGCTCGAATTTGACCTACGTAGCTGGCAATTCAAGATTACCTGATCAACTTGAGGATCTTATTTGGACTTTTTGGCTTGGTAATTACGTGAGTAACTTTCTTTCTTTCTTTCTTTATCAACTTGCGCCAGGTTATGACTGGACTCTCATTAGTAGTGAAAAACTTTTATTATAAAATAAAAATAAAATAAAATAAACTAGTTATACTTTTGACTCTTTAGTTCATCGATATCAAGCGAAAATGTTAAAACAATTTAATAAACCAACAAGCTACTCAACTCTCTTCTAGTTAAAATAAACTTAGATCTTACAATAAGAATAAGTTTAAAGAAAAAAAGTAAAAACATATAATTTAAATTGATTTCGATCAAATTTATAATATAAATAAATAAATTATAATCAATTCTCAAACATGCTGTAAATGTACAAAATGCAATCAAAAACCTACTCAACCCTCTTCCTGTTAAACTAAATTTAAACCTTACACTAAGAATACATTAAAATGAAAAAAGAAAAGAAAAAAAAGAGGCCCAACTTTGCCATAACTGATTCAAACTGTACTTGATGAAAGGGCAGGGAGACTAATGACAAGAATAGGATCATCATCAGGCAAAAGCATTTTAGGGTTTAGTGCAGTGAAAACCAAAAGAGCAAATAGGACCAAAACTGATAATGCCGATAAAACAAGCATTATGGCATGAGGAATTTCTCCATTGACCTCCTGAGCGTATCTTGTTGAAGCTAAAGCCAGCATCGTAATGGGGTAAGAATAAGCCCACCATGCTATACTGAATCTTCTCATGGCTTTCTTGAAAAGGGCTGGCCTGCACATCTGTTAATAATTTCAAGGAGAAGAAAAATTCAATTTTTCTTGTGGTAATTAAGAAAATTTGAGAAAAATGAAGAGTAATGACTCCATATTTAAAAAAATGAAAAATAAAAAAAAGGAGAAGGAAATAATGGAAAAGAGTATGGAGAGAAAAATGGAAGAATTTTATGTTGTCATAATTTCTCATTTCAATTTCCCTATTGAGATTGACTTTTGGTGATACTATCGACTGGGAACGTGTTGAACCGTTTTATCTAGAATTAATTTAATCTATTACAAAAGAGAAATTTATTTGTTTGTATATTCAAGATATTTACAACAACCTACACAATGAAATCAAGATATTTAACAAAAATGCTATTAAGCCAAACAAAAGAACTTTGACTCTATATATTGTCGTCACTTATTTATGAAAATTGTACACGTTTTGAATTTTTAATGAAAAAAATGAGTACAATACGCACTTGATAAGACATGTTGAATATAATATTTTAAAGAGTATACACTATCTACAAGAGCATTTCCAAAATGCTTTTTATTTTTAGAGAGCACTTTTAAATTTAAAGAGTAGAATTTTATACACTTCAACAAATTCTTTATTTTTTGTTCTTTAATTGTTTTACTTTTTTCAACAATCATTTATTGTTTTCATTCACCTTTAAATAAATAAATAATTTTAGATGTCAATAACTAAAATATACAATATAATATGAATAATTTAAATAGTGGAACATTGAAATTTGTAATTTTATTAAATACAATTAGGATAAAACAAACATCGAGAGTGAGTTTGGTGAGAACCAAACTTAATGTCTATTTCAAAATGTAAAAGTAGAGATTAATCAATCTTAAAAAATAAGGAGTATAATGATATAATAATGTATTTTGAAATAGTGATTTTTTTGGAGAATATGAGGTTATTAAACATGCGATATATGTTCATGCAATGTATAAACCCCCACTAGAATATTTTAAATTACTGTCTAGTTTTGTATTCAATTGTTGCCAAAGAACAAATTTTAATATTAATTTAATGTTTCCAGATCGGTTACGTTTTCATTAAATATTTCAAAAATTAATAAATATAGATTTCTGGACCCAAATTTTTATTTAAAAAAAGCATAGGTAAAATTGCACTACTGGCCTCAACCTATTATTTAGGTGATAGTTCCAGGCATTTGTCTTCAGTTGGGAACAAAAACCCAACTTATAAGAAGAGACGTGCGTCAACTTCAAAATTTTGTAAAATTGTAATGATATTTATGAAAATATGCATCATTTAAAATTTATGAGTATCAATTGAACAGAGATTTGGGCAGTTCGTTCAAAGGAAGTCGACTATGCAACTACAAGGAAATGTTAATGGATTTGCTCCATTTTAAAGAATAAGGACCAACTTGCTAATAGAGATATAGGTTGAAGACGAGTCGTGCAATTTTCTCAAAATTTTGACTACGTACCAGTGACATGAAGAGGAAAAGGGAGAGGAAAAACAGCATTTTGGAACTAGTATCAAAGCTACCGGAAATGGAGTACCAAGCCAAACTTGCTATGCTTGGAGCTGCAAAGAACAAGAAGAAAACAGGCCGTAATATCGCCGGTATGCGGTCACCGCCGGAAAGTCTCTGATAAAGAGTCACAAAAAGCACCAAATAATGAACCATTCCTAAAGAAAACAGGAAAACTGAAATTTCTTGCCACCCAATTTTGGCGGCGGCGCGTGCTCCGACCAAATTTCCGACGACTGATAATTGGCTCGTTGGATTTGCCACCGCTGTTAAAACTTTCTTTCCCTTTGTAAACCACTGGCCATATATTTTTAAATCGAGAATCACAACAGGAACAGCAAAAACCCACCACGAAATCCTGAAGAAAACATGTGTTGGAGTGACAAAAGGTGAAGATTCAAGCAGTAAAAGCCATGAAATCCAAGGTGCAAAGAGGTAATTCACTCCAACATGGTGCAGAAATTCTTTCTTTACGAGATTAAACCGAAAAAAGCATCTGAGAGCGTAGAGAATTGAGAGCAAAACTAGTATAAAAAACGCGAATGACCACAAAATCGTTAATACTGTTGAATACAGTAAGTGGGAAACGTGAAATGTAATTCTTGAATTGAAATTATTTGGCTGAAGAAGGATTTTACAGAGAAGGGCTTGACATGAAAGAGATAGGGTTATTCGGAAATAGCCGGCGTGGATTCTGGTTAAGATTTGTGATAGAGAGAATGAGTGGTGCATAGTGGTGGTGGTGGTGGTGGAAAGACCTGGAATGGTTGAGGTGGCGGAGGGTTCATCGGTGGCGATGGCGAGCTGAATTTCAGATTGAGATTTTTGGATTTCCATTGAGAACTTTGCGTTATACAATTTAGGCTAAGCAAAAAACTGAATTACGATTATCTTGTTCGAGACAAATTTGGGTTCTACGCTATATAGTGAGACGAGTGGGAAAGACAAAAAAGGATCATAATAAAATTGAATTTAATAAAAGAAAGTTTTCTAGAAAGGATGAATTAGTGAACGAAAATCATTTTGTGCTTTTTATAATTTTCTTAAAGTAGAGATTAATTTCTATTCGACATCTCATAATCTAAATCCTCTGTTTGAAAATGAAAAAAAGAAACTTTCCATCCTTTATTTTCGGAATTTTTGACCCAGCGATAAAAGGAGCATATTGTCACGGACCTAAAGAACTCCCCTATCCATGTGGTAAGGCAAGATAGCTTATTGCGGGTTTATTACTATATATCTCGGAAGTGCACTGACGATGTCCCTGTAACAGGTATTGATGGCATGCTTTCTATCCTTGTGTTGTGCTCATGTTGCGTATCGTGAGCTTGCCGGCCGCATGTGTGGGGTAGGCTGCCTTGGGGGTCCCTGGAACCTCAAGGGCCGAACGGGAGGTCCGTTACAAGTGGTATCAGAGCCGGTCCGCTC